GAACCACCTTGCTCCCGTCATATTACTATATGGCGGGTGGGAGGCGGTTAAAGGAGAAGTACAGCCAAAGCTTTTTTGGCTGTATTTCTCTTGTGGATCACAGGAGTGCAGTTCGTTCTTCACGCCTGTGACCCATTTTCAACTGACAGCGAGCGCAATGTCTTGTTGATGTCAGAGGAGAATAGGCAGACTGGTTGCTGCAACATTCAGATGGTAGGGTCAGAATTTAGTGTAAACAGAACAGCATGGATCCATCCTGCCTTGTATCCGTAGTTCAGGCTGGTGGTGTTGTCATGGTGTGGGGGAGATTTTCTTGGCACTAGCAAGGTGTACCTGATAAAATGGCTGGTGAGGATATATATGCGATACTGCATTTCCTGATAGGGCACCCCCTGGTGCGTTAATTCTGCTTTAATTAGTCACAGCAGAAGCCGATTAGCAAGTTCCGGCCAATGGATGACTACTGGCACCTGCTGGTCTGGGAAGAGAGAAACCACACCGCTCTGCCTATGTAAACCAGGAAGAGCTGTGTCCCGACAGCGGCATTGTGCTGGATTTGGTCTTCGTGCAGAAAAAAATGTTTTATTGGATATGTTTTATAGCCGAAAGTAAAAAAAAAAATTTTTTTTTTTTTTCAAAATTGTTGGTGCTTAAAGCGAAAAAAAAAAAAAAAAAAAAAAAAAAAGAAACCCAATGGCAATCAAATACCATCAAAAGAAAGCTCTATTTGTGGGAAACAACATTACATACATTTCATTTATGTACAGCATTGCACCCCCGCGATTGTTAGTTAAAGTAGTGTAGTGCCATATAGCAAAAAATGTTCTGGCCAGGAAAGGGGGTAAATAGTCTGGAGGTCAAGTGGTAAAAAAAATTTAATCATATTAGTCTGGCATGATCTGCCCTTGGTAAAGCCACGCTGCTTTAGGTCCAGGAAATTGTGTGTTTGACCCAAAGCAGGATGGCTAAATTTTTTGATTATATCACAGATGTTTTGGATTTGAATTATGCTTTTTGGCTTTAACCTGTTTTCAAATGAAGGGAGTTTAGCCTTGATCAAGGAATGGGTTTCCTATCCCAAGTTATAACTGTTTAATTAAGCCAATTCTTTTCCCTGTTTGAAAATAAAAAATAAAGATCAACAGCTAAAAATACTGTAGCTGCTGACTTAATAACAATGACACTCACCTGTCGAGGGATCCAGCGCTGCTCTCACCCCCAAACCAGTTCTTTGCCGGTCTTCGGGTCCCTGGTGGTGGCTGGCATGTTTACTGTGGGAAGCTGGCTGTGATTCCTCATGGCTTCACAGCCTCTTCCCACTAAGCATGCACGAGCTATGCTGCACCTTGGGATCTGTGACGGGCAGGGAAAAACTGAAGCGGGGGGGAGAGGAGAACTTCTGGTGGATTCACCCCCCAAAAAATAGAAGTGGGGGGAGAGTATACAGTTGGGGATTTAAACACAAGAGGTGTTGATTTTCTTTTCCCTTTTGTATGCTGATAAAGCATCATGCAGTGGCATTGTGAAATTAATTAGAGTTTTTATTCTGTGATGTTTTGGAATAAAGAATGGAATTTCAGAAGTCATCTCTTATTTTTCTGTGAATGATGTTGTAACATCTGGGAACGAGCCTGACCGGTACCTGTAAATTGGATAATAAAATATGGTCTGACCTGGAGCTGATCTCAAACTACATTTTCATGACTACTGAGTTTACTTGGCTTGTGCTGCAGTAACTCCTGTACTTCTTTCATGTTAGGTCCACTGTGAGCATGCACGTCTTTTACTGCTAGACCTCTGGGTTGTTTTATTCTTTTTTTATACAGAATATCTTGGAAGAGAAATACTAGTTTGCATACCCTGGAAGAAATTGTGAAATTTTGGAATTGATATTGAAAATGTGTCTGACCATGCCAAAAAATGCTTTTTTTTTATTGAAGGATGATGATGATATCAAGCCATTTATTATCAAATGGTTGTTTGGCTCCTTTTAAAATCATAATGATAACAGAAATCATCCAAATGGCCCGGATCAAAAGTTTACATCCCCTGGAAGTTTGGCCTTGGTACAGAAACACAAGGTGACACACGGGTTAAAATGCCAATTAGAGGTTAATGTCCCACATCTGTGGCTTTTTAAATTGCAATTAGTGTCAGTGTATAAATAGTCAATGAGTTTGTTAGCTCTTACGTGGAAGAACTGACCAGTCTAGATACTGAGCCATGGGATCAGACAAGAACTGTCAAAGGTCCTGCGTAACAAGGTGATGGAACTTTATAAAGATGGTGGTGGAAGGTTATGGCGGAAAATGCAGTTTCTGGGAAAATGCCACCTGATATGGTCTGAGATGGTCAACTGACCAAAAGAGACAAAAGGACATTGCGCAGGATTGTGACCCGCAATAAGATAATAACTGCTGTAAAAGCGTCTGCAGAGCTCAATCTCAGTCTTGTAAAGCCCATGTCTACAAAAATTGTGTGAAGAAACACCATAGGCAAAACATGCCATTGCCAAACCACTAGTGACCAATTTTAATGCTCAGAAGAGGAGAGAGTTGACTATCAATCAATGGAAGACTATAGGATGGTCCGATGAATCGAGCTTCACACTGTTAACAGCCACCAGATGTGTTTACATGTGGCAAACATCATCCCAAGCTTACGACCAGGACTGCCTTGTGCCAACGGTAAAGCATGGAAGAGGCGCAGTCATGGCTTGGGCAGTCATATCTTGGTATTCTGCAGGCCCCATCATCACCTTGCGATTCACACAGATGGTGCTGTCAAATCGTGCTTTGACGAGCATGCAGAGGATGTCTTGAACCTTTCCTGGGCACTGCAGTCGCCGGACCTCAGTATCATAGTGCCTATGATCAATTTTGGAGAAAAAGGTTCAGGCTCGCTTTCCGCCTCCTGCATCTCTAAGAGAACTGGAACAATTTTTGTATTAGGAGTGGTATCAGAATTCATTATCCACCATCCAAGACTTATATTTCTCAATTTCCAGGAGAATTCAGGACGTCTTGGATGCCAAAGGCGGTTCAACACCATATTAGGTAACGATGTCATTCTTTTATCTGGTGTTTTCTATAATTTTGTCCATCCCCTGTTTATATATAAACTTGAATGTGATACAACTTGTCCTAAACTTTTAAATCTTTGGCCTTTAAAAGAAAAATATAATGATTTGGAGTACATTTTTTGTTTAGCGTATTTTTTTTCTACTATTTATGTATGTATTTATTTATTACTATTGATCATTTCTTTGCTTTACAAATAAACATTGAAAGTGGTATTAAACCCAAAGCCAAAAATGTAATATATTTCATCTTACCAGTCCTTAGATGTGGTGGTTGCGTTAGTTTTCTTTTTTTCCCCCTCTGTTTTTACCTTGTTATCTGGCCAGTAACCTCCATTTTGGATGAAGCAGCAGCAGAGATACCTTTGAACAGCAACATTGTTAATCTGGCGGGAGGGGAGTGTTAGATGTACTAATAGATTTCGATACACTAACAAATTGAAGCCAGACTCCACAGTTTTTTTTCTTTTGGGATACAGGCTTTACATAAATAAAAGCTGATCATTGTAAGCACCTGTAGAACCACCTGCGGGGCTCTCTAGGGAATAGGATTCCCCAGAGCACGGAGTCTAAGTCCCAGTCTGCTTGTTCACCAGGGCCCCTGATGGTGGAGATGGACTTGCAGCAGACATAGACCAAGTCGCGGCCCCTGAGTACACCCACCCATGGATCCGAGCGGGATGGATGGATGACTGAGCAGAAGCGAGGTCAGACAGGCCGGGTCGGTAACTGTGGGGACAGCGAGGTACAAGGCGGCAGGCAGAGAATAGTCGGGTCACTCACCGGGTCAGTAACAGAATATCAAATCCAAAGGGGGGCATCCGAGAGAGAGGTCAGGCAAGCCAGAGGGTCAGAGCAGGAGAATTCAGCACAGTCAGGGACAATCCGGGTCAGCAACGATCAAAATACAGAGACTTCGGGAACAGGAACACAGGATAGACCATACGGCAACCAATGTGTCCGTGCAGAGCGGATTTAAATACTGCACCCTGCACTGTCATTGGTGCCAGGCGCGCACCCGCGGTCCCGAGTGTGCATGCGCGAGTCCCGTCGTTGCCGCGCCCGGCCTGGACCTAGTGCCCGCACACCAGTGCGAGTCGGCACACTGCGCCGAGCCACACGCTGCGGCGGCTCCTGACAGCACCTCTGTCAGTGGTAAATGGTTTGTCTCATCCCTGTAGCTGCTACATCTATAGAACAACTTGTTCTTTTGAACAAGACTTACTGGCCAGTTTACCAGGTAAAAATAAAGAAAAGAAAGTCTAAAAAAGCAAACAAATGCAACCAGTACATCTAAGAATTGGTAAGCTGCAGTATAATAAATATTTTCTTTTGGGTTTAATACATGAAGCAATCATAAAACAGACATTCAGTGAATATGCAGCACAACGCACACATTTCTATTGGCTAGTGAGGTGGCTCTTTGTAATAACGAGCCAATAGGAATTTGTGGGCAATGTGACAAGAGTCAAGCTCTGACCCTACCTGCATTGTTGGAGCCTTGACCAATCAGAATGCTCTGCATTGTGGGTGCCTGCACTTCATATCTGTTAGTAGCTGTAGAATTCTTAAAGCCCAATTCCAGTAAAATTTAAAAATAAAGTTACACAGGTCTTCACAGTTGAAATAAAAAAAAACAGTTCACTGCAATAATTACCTCCTATCTGTTGCTGTCCCCCGATGACCCAACAGCAGTTCAGTACAGGAGGGCCTGTGTCAACAGGCTATTGTTTGCAAAAAAATGAAATGTCATTGGAAATGCAAAATCAGCTTGAAGCAAGTTAATGCAGCTTAGAAGAAGGTCAAATGCACCTGTTTTTGTACTGAGTGATCTGAGAAGTCTCTTAAACTGATCTTGAATGCACACAACAGGCTTTGTTTTCCCATTAGCACAAACTCTAACAGTGTGCTTTCTGTACAGGTGTTCGAAGCTCATATTGAAGGTCCCTCTGAGCATCCAGAGTCAGAAGAAAGGTGGAATCTGGACCTAAGATTGTACATGATATGTTTCCTGCCATTCATCATTCCATTGGTTTTTATACGAAACCTGAAGAACTTATCCATCTGCTCTTTTTTAGCCAATCTATCTATGGCTGTCAGCCTTGTCATCATTTATCAGTATGTTCTCAGGGTAAGTAAAGGTTCTGTGTTTATTTTATTGTGATATTCTACAATATTGCGTGGAATGTTCACTTTAACCACTTCAAGTCCGGACACTTGCACCCCTTTCCTGTCCAGGCCAGTTTTCAGCCTTCAGTGCTATCACACTTTGAATGACAATTGTGTGGTCATGCAACACTGTACCCTTATGAATTTTGTTAGCATTTTTTTGAGAGAGATAAAACTTTATTTTGGTGGTATTTAATCACCACTGGGATTTTTATTTTTTTGCTATATAAATGAAAAAGTCCAAACATTTTGGAAAAAAAAAGTATTTTTCTTATAAAATTTTGCAAATAATCTTTCTTCATAAATCTTGGCCAAAATATATTCAGCTATCTTTTTAGTAAAAAAAAAATAACCCAAATTAGTTTGTAACCAAAAATTATAATTTTTCAAAAATTCTTTTTACATTTTTTATTTTATTTTTTATGCTATTATTTTTTTTTTTTTTTTTTAACATACTGTCACCCTAGCAGTACAGTGTCACCATAGTGATACTGTACTACTTGTGGGGGGTGATGAAGAAATTTTTTTTTTTTTTTTACACTGATTGCTTTTATACCCATAAAGGCTGTAAAAAGCAATCATTTCTCCTTCTCTCTGTGTGCATTCTTCTTGCAGCCATTGCGAAATACTGTGCGAGTTGTGATTGGTCACAGCTTGTCACATGGTACAAGGCTGTTATGAATAGCCTTGTACCATGTGACCTCTGTGATCATTCACAGATTTCAGTAGTAGTAAGCAAAGATGTCAGAAGTGACATCTTGCTTACTACTATTCATGTGATCACTGATTGGCCAATCAGTGATCACATGATCGGGACCTCACACAGAGGTCCCGTACAGTGGACACAGTGGGCACCGGATTGCAGTCTGCGCACTCCCAGGGAGCGCGCACAGGCAGGGAAGTGGAAGGATGTTTATAAACGGCCACCCGCTCTTGCACTGCTCTCGTCTGGCCGTTTATGTACATGGGCCGGACGGGAAGTGGTTAAAGCACATTGAAGCCCATCCCCAGTAAAAAAAAAATTGATGTTGCACAGTCTTTCCAGAAAAATGTTCCAGCTTCTACTGTGATTTTGCACTGTTTGGCCTAGTCATTCTTATTGTTGGAGTCCTATTTCTTTGGTTTGAATAGGCTGAATTAAGTACATAAAAAACAATTAACCTGCGCTTGGGTAAACGCACTAATCATGTGACTACAGAACATGAAATAAAATTCAGAGAAAAGCACCTCGCACATCAGGCAATATACAGAAAATAAAATAAATCAAAACTACAGCACTAATCAAAAACATAAAAAACATAACGACCAATTAATCTAAAAATACTCCAGTTTAAAATGTCCCAATTGAAGTTCCCACGATCCACCATCACCAGAACACCCAAATGGTTCTGCCTCTTACCAGAAATTCTGACCAAAACACACAGGTCAATATAGGCAACTCAAATGGGGGATGAATGTGTGCAGATTATGGAACTGGCAATCCTCATCAAGACAGATTTCAATCTTTCTCTCAAAAGATCTAAACCGGTCCTAAAAGAAGGCTCCCATCCAGTATTTAGATAAGGAATAAGAGAAGAAGACCACTCATAGTGTAGTAATTAAATAATAAAATCACCCTGTTTATTACAAGTTACTCGTACATTGTATTGGATGGTTACCAGCATTTGACTAAAGTTTCCAACCAGGAAAATTGCTGCCACGTTTCATCATCCAATTGATATCTCCGGTAACACTCCTGACGATGTCAATTGAATGACAAAACGCGTCGGGAGGAGCTTTGGCATGTGACGTCATCACGTTTTTTGGCGGGACAGCGGCCATCACAGCCTTCAGCATGATTTCATGGGGGGGGGCGGGGGCATTAGGTATAGGGGGGGGTTGGAGAGGATTTTTCCTCCTTGGAGATCAGATTTAATCAGACTTCTTTGTAATCTACTTTAGACATAATCCAGAATGCACCCTAGAGGTTCACAGGCACTGTTCTTCTGAAATTAAAAATGCAGGTAACTATCTTCATCATTTGAATATCATGGGGAGTTAAAGAAGCCTCTTGGTGAATTCCATACACTAGTGATCACCCAAAACTAAAATCTTAGTTTTAGGTAGTGTTGAACTATTGTGTAGTTATGATTCATCCACAGCCTGTGTTTTCCGAATATATAATCCAATTGATTACATCAACACATTATTTTCCTTTTATTTCTTCAGAATCTTTCTGATCCCCGCACTCTGCCTTTGACATCCACTTGGAAGAAATATCCACTGTTTTTTGGAACAGCCATCTTTGCTTTTGAAGGCATAGGAGTGGTAAAATGATCTTTTAATTATTGAAGTACAAGATTAGAACTAAATGTTTTTGTTAACTTATGATATAAATTTTCTGGCCATATCTGTAATAGTGATATCATTGTTGGCACATCGGTAGCAGGTGGCTGAGTCTGCCTCTTCCCTGCTTTCTGAGCCCTGTGTTAAGAACAGAATATATAACACATCAGTTATTGCTCTTTAAGGAGCAATTCCAGGGATCCAGTGAACTAAGTATTTTATCCTAAAATTAGGAAATGGATCTGCTCTGTTTAAAGCACATGTCAGGTATAAAAAAACACAAGTATTGCACGATGGTTTAAAAAAAAAAAAAAAAAAAAAAGAAAACGAAAAAAAGTTCCAGGAAAGTTCACCTGGAAGTTACGTGAACACTGCAGATGAGAGCTTCTCACTCTACAGCCCATAAGAAAGTAGAGCTGGGACCTGGTGTGTCATGCGACTGGATTTTTTAGCAACTAATTTGGGCTTTTATTTATTTATTTTTTTTTTTAAATACTAGGGTGCAGTGAGATTTTCTTTCTCGCTGTGGAATACCTTTACCCTAGGTTCACACCTAAGCATTTTCCGCAGTGTTTTGCAGAAACACACTACAGTCCATTTAACATGATTTTCTATGGGACACGTTCACATCTCAGCGTTTTTATCCGGTGTGTTTTTTGGAAAGGGTCAGGGACTTTTTTAAATGCAAAAAGTTGTGTTTTTGGTTCTATAGACTTCAATGGAGATGCTGCAGAAAGCATGTAGTGTGTGTTTGCTGCATTTTTTACGCGGTTTGCATTTTAATCTGCCTAGCAACGACGAGAAAAAAAATTAAAAACTAAAAAGCAAAATGCATAAAAAACATGGCAAAAACGCATCAAAAGCATGTGCAAAACCATAAAACGCATCGCAAAATCACTGCAGAAACAGATCAAGCACAAACTGCATAGGTGTGAACCTAACCTAATCGGGGTTCTCTGTAATCTACTTTTTAGGCTCCATGCATACTAGCGTTTTTGTAAGCTCCTATAAGCTGTTTTTTTTTTTTTTTTTCTGCTCCTAGAAGCTAAATAGTGTTATCCTATGTGTCCATGCACACTATTTTAGGTTAGTAGCGTTTTTCAAAATTCAACTGTTAGGAGCAGAAAAAACATTTTTGTAAAATTTTTGGCAATGTTTTTGTGGCAGAAAAAAACACAAAACGGTACTAAAACACTACTAACCAGATCCCCCCACATGTACTGTAGAAACACTAATAAAATGCTAATGCTCCTAAAATGCTAATAAATGCTACTTAAAAATGCAATTACCAGCATTTTTTATTCAACGTTTTTTGAATTTAAAATAAAAAACAACCCGCTAGTGTGCATGGAGCCTAAACGGAATTCAGACTACACCTTACAGATTCTTGAACCTTGTGCTGTGTAACTTTCAGTCATTATTAAGGCTACTTTCACACTGAGTAGTTTTTGAAGCATTGTTGCATTAAAAAAAGCGCCTGAAAAGCTCAAGAAAAATGCTTTCCTATGTATGTGAATGTATATCTATGTATGTTTTCACACTGAGGCGTTGTGCTTGTGGAGCGGTGTAAAAACTTGCTGCATCTTGAAGGGCATGTTTGGTGAGTTTAAAAAATAAATAAATAAAAAGCCACCAAAATGCCTCTTCCTATTGAAAGCAATGGAAAACACTTGAAAAGTGCCTGTGAGTGTTTTTGTGTGTTTTTGGTGCAGTTTTTAAGTCACGTATCCTTTAAAAATGCTCAAAAAGTGCGGTAAAAATACCTCTGCGTTTTTGCGGTGGATCAGTGTAAAAGTAGCCTTAGATTTCCACAGTTGCGTTCAGTCTGGTTGGTCATTGTGAGAAGAATCATATTATTTTTCTTTTACTCGAAATCCGTCTTTCTCAACACAGGAATTCTTGAAATAATGTTACGGTCTCAGGGAAACCCTGCTAAAAATTACTTTAAATGTAAATAAATGAGTGCATATTATTGGAATGTTTAAGGCACCAAACACAAAAGAAAGAAAAATAATTGTATTAAATATCCGTGTTTATTAAATGCATTTAAAATCCATGCATAATATGGTACAAAAACAAATTAATTGGTCAAATATAGTAAAACTACCTTGAGACAAAAAATGTACAAAGGGATAGGAGATAATATCTCCCTCTATATATTTGTCAAAAACAGAACCCCAACGTGTTTCAATTTTACATATGACTCTTCTTCAGGGAACTTTGTCAGAAGTGGCTGTATCTAGAAATTGAACATATACACACATATACTATATCTAGAACATGTAAATCCATAAAATCTCAAATTACAATATGAATATTCAACCCCATAGACTTGCAAAATGACTATTCGCATTCTTCCAAGACAATGAGACCACCTCTGCTCGCAACGCTGAAGCACAAAGGATGCTACGGAATTTCACAAGGGTAGAGAATGTTAAACCTAGCAAATCTAGTAACAAATGTCAATAATAGGACAAGAGCCAAAGAGTTGGAGATACCAAAAGCTTCATTTTGTACAGATCCATATATGAACAGATAACACATGGGCCAAACACAAAATATAAGGTACCATAATAAGGCTACCCAACATATACTGTATGTGAAGAAAAAGAATAAATAAATATTACAACATTTACC